GGATTTTGGCCCACTCCTCTTGGCATATCTTCTCCAAGTCATGGTTTGGTGGCTGACGTTTGGCAGCTGGAACTTTCAGCTCCCTCCACAGATTTTCAATTGGATTAAGGTCTGGAGACCGACTAGGCCACTCCAAGACCTTTATGTTATTATTATACAGGATTTATATAGCGCCAACAGTTTGCTCAGCTTTTTACAATATAACGGGAGACAATACAGCAACAATACAGTTCAATACAAGAGGGATTTGAGGGCCCTGCTCCTTGGAGCTTACAATCTAATGTGCTTCTTCTTGAGACACTCCTTTCTTGCCTTGGCCATGTGTTTTGGGTCATTGTCATGCTGGAACACCCATTAACTGCATTGCCCTGGGTGCTGACAACTCACGCTACGCTAAAAAAAAAAAATGGCTCCTAACTTCTTAACCTCCCTAGCGGTCTGATTATGTCCATATTTCTGTGCTCAAAGCGGTACATTTTTTTGCATGGAAATATGTAGTTTTTTTATTGTAGGCCTGTCATTTTTAGGAATAACTCACTGAAATCTGTCCGAACAAAAGTCTAGTAAACATCCCGGGTATGATAAAATTTGAAACACGAAATCATAAATTATAATTTAATAAATAATCATAAAAAATAATATAATAATAATACATTTAATTCAATAATATAATCAAACCAAAAACACTGAAATTTGAAGTATAGCGCCAAGTTTGCACATCACTGAGCAAAGTCGCAAAACCGTTTTCAGTGTCCGATGACGAATCTCCCCACGAATCATCACTCAATTCTGCAAGTGGTTCTGATTTACTATCGCTGTTCTCTAGCTGGTCTAAAACCGATTTTGACCTAAAGGGACGCTTTTTGGACGCCATGGACGTTTCTCAGTTTCCAGGCAGAAAGAACGGTACAAATGCAGGCAGGGCACAGGACAAAGCACTCGGGACAAAATGTATGTGAAATGGTTTGATACAGGAATGTTTTACTATGTGATTTTAGTGTATTGAGTGAATGTCACTTTTGGTCATTTTCAAATTTCCCGCCGTTCCGTCCCCCGTAAGTCCCGACGCTTGCAGGGGACGGAACCTAGAAGACAGATGCCGGCATCCGCCGGATTACATTGCCGGGGACACCGCAGGAGGGACATCGCGGGAGCGCAGGACAAGGTAAGTGAAGAACAGATGCTGGAGCAGCGCTGCATGGTAAGCCCAAGTGTAGCTCGGGGTTACCGCTTTTGGTACTGAAACTTTACCCCGAGCTACACTCGGGAATACCGCCAGGGAGGTTAAGCTGGCTCCTAGATTCAAAGCAAATTTTTTTCACTTGCACAGACATCAGTTTTTAATGCACACTTCAATTAATTTTTAACACGTTGCAGATTCCTGCGCAAAAAAAAACCTGCACATGATACTAATGTTGTGGTGTGAGCAGGGCACATAGAGAACGATTTGATATGTTGTGCCCTTGCTGAGTTCATGCAGAAAAATTGATGTCTGTGCACCCTGGTGTGAATTAGTCCTTTAAAGGGAACTAAAGCTGTCCAGTTATTTTTTTAAATATAAAACACCAGATGAATAAAGTGTTAAAAGTGACGCTAAGTAAATTAATCAATCATAAGTACAAAACCATATAATAAAAAAAAATCACATGAATGCCCATATTATTCAATAACAATAACAGGGCAGTGAAGCGGCTGGACCCAGGACATGGTGAGTGACAGCCGGAGGAGGAGGAAGGTGAAGATGATGACGATGGGACCCTAAACCTTCGGACCAGAGCAGTGTGAGTAGGTGATTTGTGATGAAGTCGTCTCCCTCACCCGGTGTCGTGGTGACCGCCTGCCTGACGGTTGGGGCTCTGTGAACGTGGAGTGTTGATTTTTCCTGGATGTTCGTTGGAATGTATCTTGTGGAATCTTTATCTTCAGTGATCTATATTCATCTCTAAATGGGAAATATGTCCCAAGAAGCTTGTTTGCCAACCACAAGAGTGGAAGGAAAATATTTTTGGTCAGTTTACATCCATGTGGGGTATCCTATGGAGCACTTTGTTGTCAGTTTGCTGCACATGGTGAAATAGAAGATTCGCTTTCATGGAGTTTTGGATTACTTTATCATACTTTTTTCATGGACTTTCCATCACTTTTTAGTTTGTAATAATTTTTTACAGCAATCACGGACTTTTCACATATTTGAGTTATTAAATTGTATGGGCATTCATGTGATTTTTTTTTTTTTATTATTATATGGTTTTGTACTTATGATTGATTAATTTACTTAGCGACACTTTTATCACTTTATTCATTTAGTGTTTTTTATTTCAAAAAGTTTTTTGGTATTTAAATAGTGGCAGCTTTTACACATTTAAGTTGCAATTAGCGCGATATAATAGATGTTGATCACATTTATTTTATAAAAATTTTCTGTCCAGTTAACAGTTTAAAAAAACAGTTCCATTCCCAGCATGCCGGGAATGCTAACTCATATTTGCTTATGTCCTCAATTAAATTGTCAAACCATCAAATGACTGGTGTTATAATTGATCATGTGTGCAGCACCACAGCAGTTGAAAATCAAACCGAATGCAGCTTCCTTGGCTGAAAAGGATAGGAGAGTTTAGTTCTGCTTTAACTGCTGCTTAACAACAATGGCAGCCCCAGCAAGAAGAAACAGGAACAGTGCTGGAGGCAATTTACAGCGCACACTAATTTTGGTAGCAGAATGATGTATGTGGAATTTATGGTAATATTTTATTGCTGAAGAGACATTGTAACTCCAGTTTGTAGTTTATTTTTAGCCTTTACTTCCACTTTAAATGGTTTGTCTCAACCCTCTAACTGTCACTTTTGCTGGACAGCTTGGTCTGTTAAAGAAAGTTGAAAAATAACAGACTTACTGGCCAATTACCAGGTGAAAACAAAGGAAAAAAAGGCTTTAAAAAAAAAAACAAGTGCAGCTACCACATCTAAGAATTGGTAGGCTGCATGATAAATTATTTAGGTATTTGGGTTTAAAGTGTTTCAACAAGCAGGACATTTTAGTTAAAAAAAATGCCCCATTGGTTATATTGCCTGTTACCTCCCTAAATACATACCTGAATCAAAGGACTCAAGTCCTCCTGCTGCCGTCAGTCAAATCCTGTGAGGAGGGAGCTGAGGCGGAGCTGTGCTGTGTGTGTGTGTCAACAGACAAGCGCAGCCCAGCTCAGGGGCAAGACCACAGGTGAGCCCCCAATAGAGGCGGCTTCTTGTGGGGTTACACTGAGAAGAGGAGGGGTCCAGAGTATTGGCGGGGGACCCGAAAACAGGAGTTTCGGGTCCATTTCACAGAGCAGGTAAGTATATTATGTTTGTGATTGTAATAAAATTATTAAAGCTTTACAGTCATTTTAATACTGCTTAAAACTGTCACGTAAACCTACGCACAGTACAATCTTTTGTTTTATCTATCTTCTCAATTCTGGCTCTGCTGCATACTCTGCTGATATTCCTCATCTCTTCAGGAGTCTTTTTATTTTAACCCATAGTTACTCCTACACCTGGCCGTGGGTAAGAAAGTAATTGCAGCTCACACAAGGCTTTCTGAGCCAATGTCAGGAGTATGTAGTATACTGAATTTAGAGAATGGAGCAAACCACAGCTATTGTACTGTGAGTAGATTTACACAACCGAAAAGGTGACAAGGTTTCTTTAAGACCTTCAAGAAAGTGTCAGGCAGTATTGATGCTTCCTTTCTCCGGAGCACTGCACTGCTTCTCTGTACAGATCCTAATTCCCAGTCAAACTTTGGCTTGTCAAAATTCTTACATTTTCACAACTTGTTTTTCCATACCTTATTTTCTTTGTGCGAATTTAAACACTTGGATTTTGTATGTGTGTGAGGTTTTTTTCCTTTTTTTATTTTCATATGGAAGCGTATTTTCTGCTTTTTGTAAGCAGTAAAAGAAAATGATTCTGTTGAAATATGGGGGAGCTGCAATTGCTGACTGGTTTTTGAAAGTTCAAACTCTGTGTTCACTTTCCTTCATTCTTTGAGGTGCTGAATTTCATCAAAAGATGAGCTTGATCGTCCTCAAAACCCAAACAAAAACTCCAAACTTCCAAGCCGCACTTTTTTTTTTTTTCCACTCGAAACAATTGCAGGCTAGGTAATTTCCTGCTCCACATAAGTGGCTGGTGATGTCAGTGCCCTTAAATGCCCATATATATATATATATTGGCTATATATGAGCATGTATCCATATAAGGGCACATATGTCACTAGCAACCCACCCATTTGTATACGCATGCTGTGGGCAGTAATTACCTTGCTTGCAGTCAATTGAAGTGAAAAAAATTGTTATTGGGCTTCTGGATGAAACGGAGTTCAGAGGACGCCCAGGCTTATCTCTGCTTGCACCTTGACGAGGGTACTCTGCTGATTTCATGGGTGTACTCACACTAAACAATGGTTACTTTGTACCACCCCCAACCCACACACTCACTACCCCTCTGGTTTGCATCACATTGTGCCAGGTCGGACCACTCTGTTAGCCAAACCACAATAATCCTTTCTTCCATGCTCCATGTCAGTGATCTTTGAGAGTTCTGTGCTCTGAAATGGTTATCATTTACACCTAAATGCACACCTGTAGGTGTGAACGGGTCCTTGGAGATTAACTTTGTCATTCACACTAAACTGCAGTGCATAGATGTGAACCAGCCACATAGGAAAGAATGGGATTTCTACTTGACATGCATTTTTATGCAGCAAACTACAAGAGTTTTGGTACATTACAATGTACAAAGTGTGAATCAGCCCTAACAAAATCTCTAGATCTAGCCTAAGGAAATTCATAATAAATTCCACATCATGTGTATAATAGTAACTTTTTTCTTTCTCTTTGTATTTGCTAAAAAAATCTACCTTGTGTTTTTGCAAACTGTTCTCCCTCTTTGTATATAACGGATCTATGTTCCAAAAATGTGTACATTCTAATTGATCTAGACATCTTTACTGAAAATTTCAGAGTTCCTCTGGTTATGACAAGCAGGATTCCTACAGCTCTCGTCGAAGAAGTTCCTCTCCAGAGGACAGGTATGCAGTGTTAACAGTATGCTGTTTATTGTGTTCTCAATATGGTAGGTACAGCTTACATCATAAAGTTTAACTGACAAAGCAGGTTATACAGAGCTGTCATGGTACAGAGTGAGATACAGCTTAACACAGGTATACAGTATTAATTATTCAGTATGGTCTGTGTTTTTATCACCCTGCTTGATAAGGTATAATTTTGTAGGTAACGGACAAAATGGCTCATTCGCAAAGCACTATCTACTGCTTTAAGATCTCTGGCAAAATCCCCCTTAGCATTTTTCTACATTTTTTGTTGCAGTTCACTAAAAATTGCTTCTAAAATAAAGCATGCGGCATTTCATTGAAATTTGCCGCCTTTATCTCATGAAACCAAACGGTATTTTATCCCATAACATCATATCCACTGGGATGGATACAGTGAAGAGGGATTAGAACACTTGTCTGTTTTATTGCTGTCTGTACTCTTGTTAGAGAGATTCACAGTCTCTATTTCTTATCATTGAAAGGGAAAGCAAATCCCACGTTTTGTTTTGGGTTGACATCAAACACTAACTAATCCAATAACACTAACTAATTCCAATGGGAAACAGATGGCAATAAAAAATAAAAATGACGGGTTCTAACCCTCCCTTAAGGATAGGATTCTTAGGGCACTTCTGCTTCAATGACCTTCACATTCTTAGAGATGGAAAACAGTGTAAATGATTGGTGCTGAGAGAAGACACTAGTAGAGTGACGCTACAACAAAAATATATAGAAAATGAAAAGCGTAAAGTAAAAGGCATATAAAAACAATTCCATAAAGTCCATGGCTTATGCACTAGCAGTGGCAGCTCCCCATAGAGTGAAGCAGGCTCTGTAGGAAATCTAAGAAAACACAAGGGGGCATTAACCTAATTGCAGTACGTATGAAAAGTTTCTTAAAAAATATAGCCAATAGCTACTCACACGTGTACAAGGTAATAAGGTGTAGGAACATGTTCTCGGGTGGGCCAGTGCAGAGGCCAATGGTGTCTAATGGAGCCTGGGTCCCGGGAGTGGGATGCAAGGTGAGCTGTCAGCGGGAGAAGCCAGGACTAGCGCCGTAACCAGCGAGGAGCGCACGGAAGTCCAGACCAGAAGGGCAACCAATAGGGATGCGAGGACAGGTCAAGTGACACGTTTCAAAGCTTCTGCTTTTTCTTCAGACCTGATTGGATGGTTGGGCAGTCACTCTTTTATGGAAGATAGGGTGGACGGGGCGGACTTGATCAGGTTTATTGACGGCCGTGTACGTGAAGAGCGAGTATGATATTTACAGATGGCATATACATACTGGCTGAAAAACATGCAATTTGCAGTACATATTATGAAGTATTAGATGGGTATATCTCGCGCGGGGCGTATTAGGTACTGGCAATATATAACAAAGTACATGATCAGAGGATGAAATTATAAGATGGTATGAATCTCGATCTCATTTAACCCTTTGGGGGCTAGCTAGGGTTAAATGAGGAGTTCGAAGTTCATATCATCTTACTCAATCACACTACCGTCAATCAACCTGATCAAGTCTGCCCCATCCACCCTATCTTCCATAAAAGAGTGACTGCCCAACCATCCAATCAGGTCTGAAGAAAAAGCGAAAGCTTTGAAACGTATCACCTGACACACCACCTGACCTATCCTTGCATCCCCATTGGTTTCCCTTCTGGTCCGGACTTCCATGCACTCCACACTGGTTTTGGCCCCAGTCCTGGCGTCTCCCACTGACAGCTCACCTTGCATCCCACTCCTGGGACCCGGGCTCCATTAGACACCATTGGCCTCTACACTGGCCCACTCAAGGACATAGTCCTATGCCTTTTTACCTTGTACACTTGTGTTTTCTTACATTCTTAAAGATGACAGCTGGCATGCAGAAAAGACTGGAGAGAGCACTGGAGCAGCACTTTTGTGAGTTGAAGCAAACTCTGAAGTAGGAAGAGAAGGAGGCAAAAAGGTGCTTCTAAGTGCAGTATGTCCAGAACTTTATTACAAGTAATGGTTAAAAACACTTACAAGATGTGTAAAAATTTCAGGCTCACCATAGACGTCTAATGGAGGGCTCCTGTCACTGTATTCCTATGTCCGCTCTGCCTGATAGCTGCTGCAGGGGGAGCTCTGGGTATAGTTTCAAGATGGCTACTGCTCTTCCAAGAATACTGTGGATTTCAAGGACCGGCAGTGATGTCAAAGGGGGCGGTGGCACGTTTTGGAACATGCATGAATCGCTCCTTCATCAAGACCAAGCCCTGCTTTAGTGAATGGAGCCCAATTGCTGCTTTAGTGAATGGAATACAATAATTTCTGAAATATGTTCAGTAAGGTTAGGGTCTAATTTTTGCTATGCCAGAACACACAAAAAAACCACATGCATTCCGACAGCGCAGAAAAAAATTGCATTCTTGTTGCAGATGCGCGGTGGTTCTATTGACTGTTAATGGCACCCAACGCACCTTGCTGTAGTGTATGAGAAATTGTGTGACAAAATGCATGGTAACAAAGTATCATGCGTTTTGGTGTGGCGCAATTTAAACGAAAAGCTCATGCACTATTTTGGTGTGATTACATGCTGTCAACAGTTAATTCAAATGAATAAGCTGCCCTACCACAATGCGCAGTAATGCACAAAAAAGGTGCAGCAATACATGATTGCAAATGTGTAGTTAGGTTGCTTAGGGCCTCGGTCTAAAATTTTGAAGCTCATTGATGCTCTGTTTCTGATGTTCTTGCCATGGTGCCATTTCTTTAGGAAACCATAGTTAGTCTGGCTGAAAAAAGACAAAAGTCCATTCAGTTCAACCATAGAAAAAAAAAGTTATAATCCTATACCCACAGTTGATCCATGTGGCATGTGAACCTGTTGCCTTACCTTCATGGGCATAAGCTTTTGCTATAGATCTTAAATTGCAGCTTGTATTGCTCATTAATTTTAATGCACGGATCTACTCCCTTGAAGAACTGGAGGTTGTATCACCACTCAGAAGATATCATGTTGGCTATGTTTTCCTAGCTTTTCCTCCGCGATCTTCTAAGTCCCTTAATTTTTCTTGATCTTTTCTTACCCCTCATTACTTGCTTTTCTAGCTGCTTCTCTCTCTACGTTAGCAGGAGGCTAGCTAATGTCCCTACAGACAGGTTCTGTAGTCCCTCACAGGAGTGGGTCTTATGCCATACCTTCTGTAGCTGAATGGGAGAAATCACTCGATTCAGGAGGAATCTGCATTTGAGCTAAATTTGAGCCATGTATGGCCAGCTTAAACTGGAACTTTAGTCAGCAAATTGTCTTGCTAGATTACTTCAGGCTGGTCTTTTTTGCAGGTATAGCTATGTAAATCATTAAAAATAAGTGCCAATACTGTTTAAAATCCAGTAAGACACTGCCTCACCCTGCTCTGCACATGCTCAGCTGCTCTCCACTTTTAGGCATTTTTAGGCACTGTGCCGAATGTGTAGAGGCCAATCTGCTGGCCGTCTAAGATTAAAGCGGAATTAACAGGACTGCTAATTGTCAATAGATGGCAGCTTCCCTGGCTGAGAGGATAGGAGAGTTTAGTTCTGCTTTAACTGCTGCTCAGGGCTCTGGGCTTCAACAAAATGGCAGCCTCCAACAAGAAAAAACAGGAACAATGTTGGTGGAAATTTACACTCCATGCTAAATTTGGTAGCATAATAATGTGGAATGTATGTTCCTCACTAAAGTACATTATTTTTATCAATTGTTGAGTAAAGTTCCACTTTAAGCTGCTTTAGGGAAGAATTGCAGATAATGTTGTTCTGACTTCAGCACAGTGGCGTAAATACTCTTTAACAGGTCATACATTTTGTGAACTTCTCTTTTAAAGTGGTAATAAACTTGATAATGAGAGAGAAAAAAAAAACGTTTCCCCTGCAAGACAATGTCAGAATGCGCTAGTATGCATTGCATATTAGCACATTTTGTGAAACTTACTTTAAAACAATGCCTTCCAGCAGCTCAATGTCACCCCTGACAGGGCCTCCATCTTCACCTTCCTTCTTCTGTGTTTGCGGGCTTTGGCGGCTTTAATGGCCGAGCCACAATGACGTCACTCCCATGCATTTGCATGGGAGTCACTGTTTACAGCACGCAGCTCTGAAGGTATAGCACAAGTATGCCATTCCTTCACAGTGCATGCGCTGGTGCTGCTACACAAGTAAATATCTCTTAAATGGTGCATGTTTAGGAGATATTTACAGGTAAGCCATATTATAAGCTTTCCTGTAGGTATAAGTAAACAGACGTTACTACCACTTTAAACACACATCCCAATACATCATTTTAGACAAAATTCCCAATGAGATTGGAGAGGTTTTTTTTTTTTTATGTCAGAGGTAGATAAGTTTGTTTGCTTTTCAAGATAATTGTGAATTCTGGGGATAAAGTTTAATGTGAGAAATATTTCTGCCATATCTTAGGTAGAACAGATTTACAGGGCATACAATGCAGTGTTTTCTTTAGTCAACTTTTTAAAAAAATTTTTTGCAGGTATCAAGACAGAGATCGGTCACTCTCTCCATATGATAAAGGTTACTCTGATCGAGACCGGTATGATGATGATCGGCCAAGAAATGGGCGATATGACCGGTCAGAGAATACAAGGCAAGTGTTTGCTTGTTTTCCAAAGCAGGCAGTGTTTGTAAAAGTAGTATATTGGATTAAGTGTTTCTCGTGTGCACAGGATAAAGTTTTGGTAATGACAAAGGTCGTTGGAGTCATCCCGTGGATAATTTTTTAAAAGTCTAAAAAAAAAAAAGCTATGTTCCTTAATTGCTTGACGGCATACTTGTACATAGCTGGACTTCAAGTGGTTATATCGGGATGATAGCCGTAGGCTTCAACCTGGCATCATTTTTTACAGTCGACAGTTGGCTTTCTTGTAAAAGTAATCCTAGTGGCTACTTAGCCCCTGGATTGCTGTTACAAGCAGCGGGAGGGAACTTCCCACCTCCTGCTGCCTTCTGCGGCTCTCCTGTCCCAGCAGCAGACCTGAGCCACAAGCTGGTGCTTCCGCTGGCTAATCATAGATGTAATCAGAGGCCCGAACAGCTCTGATCACCTCTATGGTATAGGAAACATTCATCATTTCCGATTTTTCCTCAGATGTAAACTGCGCCATTTTTAAATAGAGAAAGTATCTGATCTGATTGATCTTGATGTGATCAGAAGCTTTTAAGGGCAAATGAGACATCTGGGGTCTAATAGACCCCATATCTCTCCTTAAAGAGTTCCTGTCACTGTCTATTGCTGTTCCCCCTGTGATAACAATAAAAGTGATAAAAAACATGAATGTGCCCAGTTGTTTCTCGGGCTTGCGCAATTTTAAAACATGACATGATTGGTGTCTGTTTACTATGCATAACATTATCTTTTAAATTTTACCAAACAATTGGGTATTATGTTGTGTTTTTGTGCACTAAAAAGAAAAAAAACTGTATTTTTTCAAAAATTGCATTTGAAAAACTGCTGCGCAAATACTACGTGACATAAAAATTACAACATTCACCATTGTATTCTCTAGGGCCTCTGCTTTAAAAATATATAAAATGTTTGGGGGTGGTTAAAGTCTTTTATGTATTGTTTCTCTGGTTTCGTTTTCCTTACTATTTATCTTTTCTTTTGTGGTAGGTTGAAGGAAAGGGACAGAGAGTATGACAGATCGAGAAAAGAAGATCTAGAGAGAGACCCTGATCGAGACAGATCAAGAAAAGATTTAAGTAAGAGTTATGAACGAGACCGATCAAGACGTGATCCAGATAAGGACTTTGAGCGAGACAGAGTGAGAAGAGACCCAGATAGAGACTCTGATAGAGATAGATCAGATAGAGATAGATTAAGAAGAGATCCAGATGGAGACAGGACAAGAAGAGAGTCAGACAGGGAGTGGGAGAGAGACCGCTCAAGAAGAGGCCCAGAAGCAGACTTTGAACGAAAACGAAACAACAAATCCCCTCCACCGTCTGGGAATAGTGAGCAGAGATCAGAAGATCAAGGTTCAGCAGAGCCCCCAGTAAAGAAAAAGAAAGAGGAACTGGACCCCATCCTTACTCGGACTGGAGGAGCTTATATTCCACCTGCCAAGCTGCGTATGATGCAAGAGCAAATAACTGATAAGAGCAGGTAAGTGCCTCTAGTGAATGTGTTGTCTGCACAAGGAAGTTGGTCCAAAAAAACTAGTACGTAGGGCTCTTACTAAAATAGTCAGTTACACCACGCTAGATCTATACTGACACCACTTTCAACATCTGTATATACAATTTAGTATCGTTGTTTGGGTGGAGGAAGTACAAAACTTATCTAAATCTATGAACAGTTTTTTTTTTTTCTTCATTTATTTCTGCTAATAACACACTTTCCTTCATAGGGACAGTACTTATTCACTGTAACAGAGGAGGAGCAGTGTTGTCACCCCAGGAAAGAACTAAAGATATTTCTCCTCTTCATAATGTAGATGAGAGGGGTTTCTAATCTTCGGATATGGCGAGAAATGGTGCTATCTGATAACCGTTAACAGAGGCAATCTCAGTTTTGCATAATATTTTAGTGATATGCCAACCAAAACCTTTATTGGGGAAAAATCACAATCTAATTTTTACTCCTGTCTGTCCCAGTTGAGTAGATTTTTGTAGAAGGCACCCTGACTGCATGTGCAAAAATATACTGTATTTCCACAACTTCACATTTGTTTCATGAACACAGACTTTCATCAGGACTAAGAGATCAGCAATTGGCACAATGTATGAGCCAGATACACTATGCATATGACACAATAACACCTAGCAGCCAATTAAAGGGAATGACTGTTAGTTGCTGTGTGAGATAAAGCCGACCTCCAAGCAGATATTAAAGATCACTTTAAATATTTGAATCCCTCCGGGGACTACATGCATGTTAGTTCTTGGTCTTGTTTCTAATCCATGCTGTGATTACTGAGAAGTGTGGTTGTTCTGTTGGCGTCCCTCACTCCACCGCTGTCTCACCACACTGCTAGCAAGGAGATGAATATATAGTTAGGTGTGAGTGACCATACTTGTGTCTGGTAGCAGGCTCCACTGGAGACCAATGCTGAAATTCACCATAGCAGGTGGAAGGGGAAGCGTGTTTGTACAGGGCTCCTTGTGTGCTCTCGGTTTGCAGGAAATTCCACCTGTGGCAAAAAAGTTAATGAGCAGCTCTGGGACTTGTATTTCTTCACATCGCTGCTCATTCACTCTTGTGCTTTCAGCTTCCGGAAAAAGCAGAGAACTTCCCATCCTACACGGAACAAAATGTATTCAGGCTGCTCAGCTATTCAGAGTAAGCTTTGTCTTCTGAATAAATACAAGGCTTCCTCTGGCTGAGATAAAGTTTTGTGATGTCGTCTGCCTGCCTCAGCCAATTAGGAGATGCTTTGTATTCAATTATAGAATGCAAAGCTTCCTCTGAATGCTCAGCCTGACTCAATTGTGTTCTGCAGCGAGATGGGAATTTCCTATCCTGCTGTTGGAACACAGCTGTATACTGTATGCAGCTGAGGATACATACATTTTATACAGCATACAGCCAGTTGGTCTTCCTTGAAGAGGAACTTCAGTCTGCTTAATGATGACTTTCTTAGCCTCGCTGTCTGTACACATGCACATAAAAAAACACGCAGGAGCACAGATGATCTGAATGCCAGGCAGAGCCCTTCACATTTGCGCATGCATGAGATTCAGAGCAACACCATTTTCTCTCAGACGAGAAAAGAGTAAGTGCTGCCCCGCAGCACTAAATAGTAGAAAGAACTGGAGCAAGGAGCAATCAATTTGTTTTTGCGGCTAAGGTACACTTTAACTCTGACAGGTAAAATGTCACCCTCCTGGCTGTGCCACAAGGTTTGCAAAGGTCTAAGTGATGTTTTATGTGTATTTGCACATTGTACTGCACTGTTTTATTGTTGATCTTTACACAGGCATTGTGAAAACAATGGTCTGCATTTACATCTGTAAAAAAAACAAAACTTGTATGCCTAAAAACACTTGTGTTCAAGAAGCCCATTTCTAGTGGGATTCTGGGAAAATGCCAACAGGTTTTAGAGAATTCAGAATATAAAACGGTGCTTATTCACCAAGCCATAGCATAACGTCATTCACCACAAGAATACATACTTCATTACACAAAATTACAACGATAAAATTGTGGCATTTCTACATGTATTTTGTCCTCTTGTAAACTGAATACAGTTTTTAAAAAAAATAGTGATACTTCTTCTTTAAGCCACTATATTTATTTACATCAGGCCTGAACATTCTAAAAAGCCAATGTAATAAGGATGTCCTTTATATGTATTTTAGAATAGTAAATACTGATTCTTTGTTTTTTTTTTTTATACATCATGGAATTTAGATGCCTATACTAATAATGGACTAGTGTCAGTTTTTGGTAAAATGATGCTGTTTTACACGAGCTGTTTCACTCGCCATTTCAGTTTTGAATCTTTAAATTTTAAAGATTGAGCCCTGGAAGATTTTGCCCCCTTCATGACCAGGCTTTTTTTTTTTGCTATTCAGCACTGCACTACTTTAACTGGCAATTGCGCAGTCATACAACACTGTACCCAAATGAAGTTTATATCTCTTTTTTTCACACAAATAGAGCTTTCTTTTGGTGGTATTTGATCACCATTGGGTTTTTTTATTATATAAAGGAAACAAGAATGAAAATTTTGAATAAAAATAAAACAATATTATTTAATTTCTGCTAAAAAAACATATTCAATAAAAAAAAAAAAAAAAAGTCTTCATAAATGTAGGCCAAGATGTATTCTACTATATCTCTTTGAAAAAAAAAATTCAATAAGTGTATATTGGAATAGTATTGTCAGAGATCGGTGACTTATAGTGGGACTGTGATAGGACTGCAGACAATCTGACACTTTGTGAGAACTGCCACTGACAACTGGCATCTCCAGTGACACTAATAGAGTGATAAGTGCTAATATACACTGTCACTGTACTGGGATAGCCAAGACTCCAGTGCATATCGCTGGATCGAGAGGGGGGTTATGTGAGTATTGGAGGGGCTGCTGCACAGAGAAGGTTTTTTACCTTCATGCATAGAATGCATGAAGGTAAAAAAAATCTTAAGCCTTTAGAACCACTTTAAGGGTAATGATCATATGAAGCCATTTATTATCACATAGTTGTTTGGCTCCTTTTTAAATCATAATGATAACAGAAATCACCCAAGTAGCCCTGATCAAAAATTTGGATAACCTGGAATGCTTGGCCTTGGGACAGACACACAAGGTGACACACAAGGGTAAAAATGGCAATAAAAGATTAATTTCCCACATCCCACACTTTTTAATTTGCAATTAGTGTCTGTGTATACATAGTCAATGAGTTTGTTAGCTCTCACGTGGATGCACTAAGCAACCTAGATACTGAGCCATGGGGATCAGAGTACGGCTCGAACGCACCCCACGGTCCCTTCTCATTGGCTGTGATTGAGTGTCTCAGCCAATGAGGAGGGAAAGATTCAGGAAAGCCACTGCTCTCGTACACATCACTGAATTGGGATCAGGTTCAGGTAAGTATTAGGGGGGCTGTTGGGGGAGCTGTACACTGAAGGGTTTTTTTTACCTTCATGCATAGAATGATTCAAATTCAGTCTGAAAATAGCAATCCAGTGTGCAGTTCCTATGAGCCGCAGGAACTGACCCACTGAAATTCCCTTTATTAATGATCTGGGGTGATGGCTAGTTGCCATTCAAAAAGTATTGGCAGCTGTTTGTTTACGATAGGTTTGGGTAACTAGCCTTCCTTCCACGTTCGAAATCTGAAGGTCCAAGATGTAGGTTCATTTATATTCAATTCCGCCATGAATTCAGTCGGTTCCTTCTCCTCACCACTCCAGATCATCAGCACGTCGTCAGTGTACCTCATCCAATGTACCACATGGCTGCGGTACAGAGACGACTCGTATACAATTTCAGCCTCCCATAGGCCTAAATGAAGGCATGCATACACGAGAGCACAATGTCCCCTATTGAGGTACCCCTTCCCTTACCTGTTGGTAATAATGCCCAAGAAACTGAAAAAAAGTTATTAAACGGCAAATTCTATAAGCTCCAGCAAAAATTCATTATATGCACCAAAAGGGGGAAATTCTTGCTCTAGAAAAAAGTAAACACCCCCCCCAAGCCCCGCTTATGAGGAATCGAAGTCTAAAGAGATTCTACGTCGATGCCCAACAGATGTGCCCCAGAGCGGACCCTAAGCTGTGATAGCTTCCGCAATACATCTGATGTATCTTGTACATACGATGGTAGTTTGTAAACTAACCCTTTAATCAAAGCATTAGTATACTTTTCAGTTTTTTTTTTTTTAAGGGGGCCTTTTTATGGCAGACACAAAAGGTCTTCCTGGGGTTTTTTTTTATAGAGTTATGAAGCTTAGGTATAATATAGAAGATGGTATCATTATGTTCATTAACCAAAATATATTCATTCTCCTTATTAGATAAAAGCCCTGCTTCCTGAGCTAAAGTTTCTTATTCAAAGCTAATACCAGAGCAGGAATATAGGTGGAACGCTCTCTGAGCTGCCTAACTGCTGCTTTTTCATAAATTTCCCCAGACATCGGGTCAATATTACCTCCTTTGTCACTGTTTAATCACTAGTTTGGGTGCTTTTTTCTAGCTAATTTAAAGCTTAAATTGGTTAAATTGTCATGTCCCCGTCAGGTCCAGTCAATTCTATTTAGGTCTTCTTTAACTAGGTCTAGGAACACCTTAATCCAGTGGTATTTATGAAAAGGGGGCATCTTTTTTGATTTAATTATCAAATCACATTTCCTCTTATACTCGGGGGACTGAAAATCTATATCTTCTCCGTCTACGGTATTCTCATCAAGCAAAAACAGCAGCGTGTTCAGCGCTTCCTGATCAGTTTGTTCATCCAGGGACCCTTGAGTGTTAACTTGGACCCAAGGTGCAGACTTGATATACTCCTATGTTCATTCATAGTATCAACTGAGGTAGACCCAACACTCTAGCGTGGACTTTTTACTGTATATATGCTGGTCGGATTGGTCTGTGGAAATTTATACACATATACGCAGGCTATTGTGAAAAAACTGCTTAACACACTCTCTGCC